GCCCTTGTCTTTATATTGTGCTTCAGCATGACATTTAGGATAGTAGCATCATCACGAGTTTCTCTTGATTTACATGTGGTTGTGCCAAGGTCTTTGGCTCTTTTTCTAAACTTTCAAAAATTATGATGTTGTATAGTTATATAAAGTTAGCAGGCAGGTAGCTTTGCTCACGTTCCTTCTTGGATTTTAGGTCTTTCTCTGGGATTATTTTCTCGGTTTCTGTCTCTCTTTCTGTCTGTACCTACATGTGTGTGCACTTGGGAATCAGAGGTTGACACAGGTTATCTCCTATTTCCCTGTTTGGCTAGATTGGCTGGCCATCGAGTTCCAGGGATCTGGGTGTTTCCACTCCTTACTTCTTACCCCCACCCCTTGTGCTGGGATTACAGATACAGGTATGCATGCTTGTCTTTTTACATGGGCGCATGAGTGCTGGAGACCCAAAGTCACATCCTCATGATTGCTCAGCAAACGCTTTGCCCATCTCTTCAGCCCCTCCCTATTTTCCTTTGAAAATAATTTTATTAGTGGTCTGTAGTAATAATCTGACTTTTTAAAAATCATTTATTTTTTTTTAATTTTTAATAACTACATGATTAGAAGAAGCATTTCATTACAGCTTTAACATACTCAGTAACACACTCCAGACAAGAGTACACCTCTTTCAAAAGTGGCTGTAAATTTTTAGGTTCACAGTTGAATTAATACAGTTGTACAATATTGAACTCAGTATAAACCCTGTAAGATATAAAATTGAATGAGTTTTTAACCTTTAAAAAGATCTCCATTTCATTTTAGAATATATTGTTCCTTGCAGAAAGACTCATTGTTTTTCCTACTAACACTGAGATGTTGGCACATGCATCTCTAATCTGTACGTATCGATTACTAGTAATAATTAGTTGCACTTGGATCCTTGGCCCCTGTGTATGTTTATAAAGTCATTGGGTAGATTTCAATGGTAATGTTTATCACCACTACTATATAACATGACATAAATTTCCATGCTTCCTCTTCAAATATAATACATTTTTAAAAAATTTGTTGATTTGTGTGTGTGTGTGTGTGTGTGCGTGTGTATCATACATAACATTCCAAACCATCTTATTCAACTATACACTCACTTTCCAGATGGCACCCTCCCATAGCCTCCTTCCCCCCACTAGAGCCCTTATACTCTGATATCTCTACTACTGTCTGCTGTGTTGTCGGCACCCCCACCCATTCCCTACTACTTGCCCATCTGGTGAATCTAGTCAGCCTATCTAGAGGTCTTTGTTTTAGGAAGGTCAGCTGTTCCTCAACTAGCAGCAATCAGTTGTCAATATTCCTTTAGAAAAGATTGGGGTCTGCTATTCATTTTCCCAGTGCTATGCTGGGTTAGTATCTGGGAGTCCCTTTGGCCACCCTGGCCA